TTTTTGGGAATATTGAGAGAAATATTAATATTGAATTTAGCATCATTTTGGATTTTAACTAAAGGTTGATTAATGCTATCTTCACTAATATAGAAGTGAAGTTTAAACCGAATTGGTGAGATGTTAAGATCTTCATAAAATTTGTTAGAGTTAATTGTTTTATACTGGTTATGCAGAATAAGGTGAAGACGAGCTAAATTAAAAGCTACTTGTTTTTTATTAGAGATAGAGTAGGAAGGAATAGCGTTGTAAGATGAAAAAATTTTAGAATAATTGAGTTGTGTAAATAGAGTAGTAGTAAATTGTTTAATTCGTGATCCGCATACAATCAGTGATCGATATATGATTAATAATATATTAATGCAGAGATAGTAAAAGTAATACTTTTTTATGAGTTTTAGAATTTACATATTTCTTTAATAAAAAAAATGACAAAATACAAAAAATATTTAGTTACACTTATTTCTTCTAGGAATATTGATCAAGAATTACACTTTGAATCTTTTTCACGAAATTGATGGCTTTCACATCCAGATGATACTTCATCTTGCTTATTTCTTTATCCTATATGTATTGGAATGAAAACTCTTACAACTATTAATAACAAAGATTTTATAGTTATGGTAGTTCAAAAAAATAATAATTTTAAGCCTGGTTATATTTGTCAATCAGATAGAATTTATAGTGATATATGTGAAAGTTCAACTATGGCAATAACATCTGTTTATCAACGTATATTTGCTGTAGCAACTAAACATGCAGGACCTTTAGTAATAGGTTTTGATCAACATATAATTTCAAATCAATTACTTTTTGATATTACTTTTCGTCCTTTTTCTTTCAAACTTGACAAAATAAATTTGTTAATTTTTGGTATTAGTAAATCAAAAAATTCTGAATGGAATTACGGTGGAGAAGAATATAAGTCATCATTTATTTGGAATTTTAAAAAAAGTAGATCATTATTCGTTCAAGAGTTTGAAGATAACAAGGCTATAGTTCGAATATATCAAGCCTTTCAAGAAATTGCAATATTTTAAAACACTAATCCAAATACAGTTTGGCAGCAAATTGGAGTTTTATCTCAGTATAGTGGGTTAGAACTTTTTGAATTAACACATAAAATTACATGTGAAATTATTAAAAAAATACAAATTCCATCATGCGCTTCATTTGATTGGAATAATGAAATATTTGAAAAAGTGTTTCAATATCATTTGAAAAGACGATTATCACCTGGTATTAATTGGCATGAATTTTTTATTAATTGGAGTAAACAAAATAATATCATTGAATTGCATCAAAAGTTGAAAGAACTCTATTCTGAAGAACAAACTATTTCAGAAAGAGAATTTCGAGCTTGGAAAGCATTGCTTAATCACTGTGGCTGTACTAACATTACACCTTATTCTAAAGAACAATCAGACGTAAATTTAGTTTACTATTATATATTTTTGGGGGTTAAAATTGAGCTAATTTTTTTTTATTTTATTTTTTAGTTTGAATTTTGGACTAAATCAGAAAATCTGGATTATGATAGAACAATATTAAAAAGCTTGTACCAATTAAAATTTTTTCAACCTATTCTTTCTGATTATCAAAATGACGGTTCAAGATTATGGATGGCAATTCAAGATGCTCTAAACAATAATTATAGAGGACCAAATAGAACACAACGAATTCTTTCCATAGTTGCAAACAAATTTACTTATAGTGAAATTCAAGCAAATTTAAAAGTAAGTTTTTTATCTATTTTTAAAATAATTTTCATATATATAAACAATATTTTATATAATATTGTACTAACTGAATTATTTTATAAAACAGGTATCTACAGACACAATAACTTATGCACGTCGTTTTGCACAAAATTATGGGCCAGGTGGCTGCCAATAGGAAAAACCTATTATAAGACATGAAAAATAGACAAAAAAAAAAAGAGCAACTTGGAAAATATTTTCAGGATAAAGCCGTTGCAATTATGAGTTCATACAAAATAGATAGCAATACTAACCAACCTGTTCACTATTTGAAAAACACTAAGCAAGTTTTATGGAGCAAATTTCATGAAACATTTCCCAATGGTGTTAAACGAACTTCTTTTTATGGATATTTACAAGGAAATTGCTTTGTGTATCGTGAAAATTTGGGTGGACTTTGTTCAACCTGTAATGTTCATAGTTATGAAACTTTTAATGAACTTGATAAATTGATAAAGCGTCATGTACTTAGTAGTCCAATTCAGGTATTTATTACAATTTTAACTATTTAAATGTGCTACAATATAATCACAACTTTATTTTTAATTGCAAATATA